GCCTCGGCTACTCGTAAAACGGTAAAACAAAATTCCCCAACAAGATAATCTGTATTTTTATAATAGGAGTATAATATAATGTCCATTTTAAATGAAATATCATCATTCATCACATTTACAAGATTTTGAGTTTGACACACGTCACACACTATAATATAAAGTATAATATAATATATATATATATATATTTTTTATTTAGAATCTATAAAAGCAGTAGGTAGGTACTTGCAAAATTTAAATTTGTACCAAATATTTTTTTTGTTAATAATGTTATCTACTATGTACCTATATAAATATAGATTAACTTTCAAGTTGCAAAAAGTTTATAATGTTGTTATAAACATTTAAAACTAATTCATTTTTACACAAAAATTGAATAGGTATAACATGAGTTTTAAATCTGAATATTGTTATAATAAAAGGAATGAAAAATTGACACTAAAACTATGGAAAAATATTGATTTTGTGAAAATGTAGGTACCTACGTATAACATACCAACCTACAATACATAGGTATATTTTATAAGTTTCGACTGGTCGACTCAGTTTAAGTACCAGTTATATTATTAACCATAATAAATCAATATAGACAAGATTTTAATAATTTTAAAATAAACATATTAATTTTTAAAAGCGTGAATACGAGATGTAAAAATACTATTTTCTGCAGGTCACCATGGATTAGTTAACATTTTTTTCATTGATATAATCAATATATTATAATCGCCTGGAAACAAAATGGTTTTTTTATTCAGATTATTTCATGCTAAAACTAGTTTTTTTAACAGTACACACCTATAAAACAAAGTAATATTATTATATTCGTCTATATTTGTCTACGTGGCTTTCAAAATGCGGTTTATCCAAGTGATCACCTATTAAATATTGATATGCATTATATTATTATGTTAATAATTGTTATATAGGTATATTGTTAATTTATGAATAATACTTTTTAAAATATTTTTGAAATTATTAGCTTACAGTAATGAAAACAGCCAATTTATTGAAAAGTAGGTCAATGATTTTTGTATAAATCGTAAACAGCATTATTATATGTACGATGTCCCCTGTATCTTTATACATATTACCTACGGAAAGATTCAAATAAAAGGAAGCACATTTATGAATTTTGTATCGATACCTTAAAAATCGATAGAAAAAAATAAACATATTAACAAGAATTTGTTTGGGATTTATCGAATTTATAATTTTTTAATTTCAGGTTTACATGTTTAAGGTTGTTATTTGTGTGTTATAGCTACCAATCACCATTCACCATAGCAGAAAAGCCGAAAATATATAAAAAAAAAACCACGTGCGCGGGTGGGTTGTATGACGGTTAACCTTTCAGAACTAACACCTGTCCGATACAAGCAGACGCCGATCGTACCTGAACGTCTACCTTCGCAGCTAAAACAGTAAAATCATCACACTTATTAGATATTAGATTAATATTAAATATTATTGTAATAATATTCCACGTTTCCACGACTACTCAGGAGTGTATTTGGTCATTTGGAACCGTCGTGTTGATAGTTTGATACGTTTTGATAAGACTTGAACGTTATCAGCAATCCGCCTTGGTTGGACGGGCATCGAGCAGTTGGGTCCCGAAGCGACATTGCCAACTTGCGGAAGTAAACAATCGGCAATCGGTCTTGGACGTTTTCCGGAAACTTGTACCAGGATTTTCGACTTCGTGCGTCGCTTTGCACCGCCGACCACAGAACGTTTTGTAAGGTCTACGGGCGAGCAACGCTACAGGCTGCGGACTGAACGTTGCGGATCGGTTCGCGCTGCGGGCGCGGCAACACCTGATCGGTGGTTCGGCCACGGTCGTCACTCACCGCTAGCGGTCGGGCCGTGCCGTCCGCGTAGCCTGGTTGCTTTCGTGTGCCGACCGCCGCCAATCGCCGTTACTGCGGCTCGGGAGCCAGCGGCGGCCCTCAGTGCACGTCCGCCATCACTGTAAGTTGTGCTGTGCGTGCTGATGTGGGCCGACGTGCTCTCCGAACTGAGACCGAATAGGGCCTCATGCAGAAGACTTTTTTCGACATAAAACATAGGTTATTGAGCGCATTGGACGATGAATACAATGTAAGACTATATTATTTTTACAAACTCCCTTATTATTTTATAATTTTTAACTTTTGATTTTTTTATTATTATTGAAACACGATATTTACATGTTGTTACGAGTACCGTTCGTGGTCGTCATTTTCCGTGGTTTACGCGGTGGCGCGTTCCGATCGTCGTCGCTGGCGTTGTTATTAATACAATTATTGTTTATCGCGGCCTGCCGACGACGGGAGAAAACGCGAGTGCGATCGACAGCGGCCCTGTCATCGCTGTAGACGTCTCCGGTTTCCCCCGTAGTCGTCCGTCCGCGATATTACGTCCGTCGACGACTGGCGCGCGGCCGCCAGGACCCCCGCCGACTGCCGTCGTCCGTCCGCAGGCGCGTGTGCGTGTGCGTGTGCGTAAAACGTAAACCGATTTTCCGCCGCCGAACGACGGCCACGGCCGTGTGGCGCGCCGTACGTCCGCGAGGTTATGTGTGCGTGTGGTGTGTGTGTGCGCACGCGCGCGTGTGTGTGCGTGTACGTTCTCCGGTCTTGACGCGCGGGGCCGGCGGTGCGTTTGTCGTGTGTACAATGGCCGAAAATAGGTTGTCGGCGACGGCGGACGTACCGTACGCCGCCGCGGCACACTGATGACATTTCGTCCGGTCGAGCCGTGGCCTACGGAACGTCGGCAGTGCGCACGCGCGATCGACGACGTTCCTTTCTCGTGCTCGTCTCTCTTGCTTTCTGCGTTTGCGTTTAGCGTTATTCGCGATCGCGTCCGTGCGTCTTGTTCCACTTTATAATATTAATGACAATATTATATAATATTCCTCCAACAGCAGCTGTTGTCTCCCGTCCGACTACTGCTTTTTATAATTTTCTTTTTTTTTTTAATAACGAAACATGTCTCCCTCTTCTCTTGCCCCACAACGTGGTTTTTAATATTCTCGTAGACACCCCGATATACATTTAATCGTTTTTGGATTATTATAATTTTTGTTTTCGATCGTTTGTCCCGTTGGCCCTGCGTGTTTGATCGACTGCGAGGGCCGTTGCCAAGGAAAATGCCTGGGAAAATGTGCACGCGTTTCGTAAATACGCCGAGGCCGCCGATACCACGTTACCGCGCCGCCCCGGAAACGATGATTTTCACAAACGTTACTCGGCGGCACTTGGTGCCAATGTCTAGCGCCTTAGTCCCCTACAATATGCTATTACGATTTTCGTCTCCAGTACGGTTAATTTCGTTCAAAAAAATTACTACCCCGCCCAACTTACATCATAATTATCGATATAATTTCTATCATCAACCCGAACGGCATGCACACATCGTATCCTCTCGACATAAATTATTTAATTTTGCTGTCGCTGTGTAATGCATGACTTTCCAAATTTTGTTTTCTCTTTATTATCGTTAATCATTGCTATCGACTCAAGTCGCAATTATTGTCGATTTAATTTATTTAAACGTAGACACTTGCGATTTTTTACACCCTACCAACATGTTGTTTTTGTATTTTCGTATAAATCTAGGTCGTTTTAGGTCAAGGAAACGGAATAATTTGACTAATAGTATTACAGTTTTCATGGTACTTAAATGAAATTCAGCATGTTCAATATGTTTAATAAAACACCGAAGAACTTATAATTGATTAGTGTTTGAAATAAAATAAGGCCATTGATTAAATTGACAATTATTTTAAAACGTGTTTTGACTTCCATACCTGAAGGGTTAGGTAGACATAAGTGTAAACTTATTAATGAGATCATCGATGATTGTAAATTATTTCTTTGAGACAAAATTAAAATAACTACCTACCAAACATTTAATTTAGTCATTTTGAACCTAGGTATACCTACATATGTTTTTAATTAATTTGTTACTATCTTAAGCTTTAAGCCCATATCTATAACAACCATTAATCTTCCTATTTGGTTATCTATAGTTCATATAATGCCAAAATTGTTGTACAAAAATATTGCTTAAATTATATTTTGTTTTTAGAAACATAATTACCCTTATAAGTATCTATAAAAGATTTAATAAGACTTGTAATCGTATAAATATTAAGACTTATTTATAATATATATGTTTTTTGATAACATTAAGCTCCGTTTTAGTTGCATTTTATAACTTTGTAATATGTGTTTTTGAAAAAATAAATAAATAAATAACCTTTTGTCGATAAAAAAAAATTATTTTCGCCATTTCCTTTATATATTTTTCTTTTGCTCTATAATATTTCACAGTAAGATTTAAAATCAGAGTTTGTTATGTTATTGTCATTGTTTGTTTTATAGTCCAGTTTAAAACTGCTGTACCAATATTCTGACATTTGAGTTTATTATGTACAAATAAGTACTTATCTTATAAAATATAAGTTATAACAATATATTAAACTATCCTGATTCCTTTTAAATATTAATTTAATTTTCAAAACAACGTTATTCAATCAACAACCATATATTATTCCTTATATTTTATTTTTCCTTCCTTACAAGGATTTAAAAACAATTATTTATTGATATTAATCACAGCATAACAAACAACTTTCATGGCTCATATTATCTTTAAATTTAATCCGAAGATATTTTCTACGATTATATAAAATATATAAGAAAAGATGGTGTCTAAAGACCTAGGGGATACCAGATGAAGAACTTTTCATGATACTAATAACAATTTTGAGTGTTTAGATCCTCTCTATATTGCTATATAGGTATATATATATACGCTTGGTGTTATATTTTTATATCCTCTTGACGTGTTTTTATAGTTCTAAAATTTAGTGCTGATTGTTAAATAAGACAAACAAGTAGTAGTCATACTAAATCAAAATGGCATTATAACTAATACTGTGTATAATTATTTATAATGTATGTATGATTTAATAAAATATTCATAAATATGTACTGCTCCAGGTTACCGACATGTCTACAGTGTTCGAGGTTATTTCAACCCTTGAACAACTACCGGTTACCACGGAGGTGCTCGAGGTAAATGTTTTTATTTTCGTCAGTTGTACAATGCCATCTTTCAGCTTGTATACACATATCACATATTATTAGCATTAAAGCCTCGGGGAGTCCTTAGATTTTTTTTTTTTTTTTAAACTTTAGAGTCCTTTCATTTTATAGAATAGATTGACATCGTATAATAAATTAATACAGAATAAAATGAAAAATAATCTGAACCAGAGTTATTTTTATACATTTATAATTTTTATTACTTGAAAACATTTAAATACAAAAATTAGTATTATATCTGTTAAAATTCAAAAAGTGTGATATTTGTATACCTAGTTAGTATTACCTTACCTACTTTTGGCAACTACCACTGACTTAAATTCTTATTTATCATATTTTCCTTTGTTTATAAATTTACAATATCTATGTTTGTGTATATTAGGCAACTCGTATTGGTAAAATGGTTAATGAATTACGACGTAAAACTTTGGACAAACAGTTGGCCAAACGTGCAAAGGAGCTTGTACAGAGATGGCGTAACCTAATGATAAATAGTGCTCAGGTCATACAACAGGCTAAGCTCCCTTCCTCACAGCCCAATGGCATGCTTAGCAACCATAGTAAAAGACCTATAACTTCACCTGATCAATGTACAGCTCCTCTTAAAGTATGAAAACAATCTTATAAAATCTATATTTCAATATTTTATTAATAATATGATTATTATTTTTACCATACAGAAACCAAAATTAAATGGAATGCCTTCCCTGAACTCAGCCATCATGTCACCACCAGTTCAAAAAACACCAGAACCTGTACCTAGTCCAGTTAATGAGCCCGACCCAGAACCTGATCCTATTTTAGAACCACAGGGCCCGAAAAAACGTGGCCGTAAAAAAGGGGGTAAAAATTCCTCAAAACTGGGGATAAAACCTACCAATCCTGTGGATTTGGAAAGAATGGTGAGCGTTGGTGCCAGTAAACTGAAAACCACCCAAGAAATAATTGCATCATTGCGAAAGGATGATGAAAATTATCAGTTGGAGGAAAAACCACAAATACCTGTGCAAGAGTTCCAGGACGAACCGTCTATAACAAAAGTTGATAAACCTAGTCGACCTAAAGTTGCAGACATCGACCGACAAATACAGGAAATATATAATAGATTACCTCCTCTGGACTTAGAAGCCATAGACTGGAGTTCACCTCCACCATCACCTCCACGACCTCCTCTGTCGCCTACTGATTTGGTAGACAGAGCTCAAATAGAAGGCGTAACTGGTAATTGGGAAAACGGTGAAACGTTTAGAGAGTGGCACGAGGTCTTAACTAGGGCAAACGATACTGGTGAACCGCTTGTCATACTACCATACGTGATAATTGACTGACAGGGATTTTTTTCTACTAGACTTTGTGATAAAGACATTTCAAGTCTTAACAATGTATATACTAAAAGTAAATTTTTAATAATAAAATTGTAAAAATAAAATAAAAATAAAAAAATTATAATATTTACATAGACATGTATCCGATTACAGAATGTGTCTTATAATGTTTTATGAAACTACTTGTCTTTAAATGCTGTAAAAATTTACTATGTTTACCCATGTAACTTATTGGAAAACTAATACTGCAATTCCTAGATCAAAGTAATAATCATTGTTTTATTTTTCAAATGGAAAATTTAATCTGATTTGTTAAGCTAGTCAAAAGACCAAGTTTAATTTATAATATAATAAATGTTATTATTTGTCTTATATTTTTTTTTTTTTTTTTTGTACGTAACAAAGTAAACTTGGGTCAAACTGCGAAATGCAATTTCTTGTGCCTTCATTGATGTAATTTTTTTTTTTAGCAAATCTCATCATAAATATAATATGATGTTTGTTACCATATAATAATAATAAATAATAATGATGTATGTTTACAATGATTATTATTTAAAGAATTGTTCTAAGGTAAAATAGTTTGTATATAAACATTTTTTTGGTCACTATCATTAATTATACATAAACTATTAACTATGTATAATCAATGCTTTTATTTCATCGTTTATGTTCATAATTTGTTTTTTAATCAAAGAACTTCCTAATTCCCTTATTGTTTTAGCTAAATTTGTTAAATTATTGTATATATGATTTTTTTCTTTTGTTATTATTATTATTATTATTATTATTATTATTATTAATTTTTTTTGACCTTTAGTTATTATTTTAATATAATTGGCAAATAATATTCATGAATAAAGCATGTATTTTTTTTTTTTTTGTCATAGCGCATTTACTTTGGGTACATTTTCTATGTAATAGCTGTTAAACCATATACTATGAAAAGAAAATTTTAAATTTGTTTCACAGTATTGTAGTACTTAACAAAGTACTTTGTTGATATAATAAAATACAATGATTGGTTCTTTTTTATATTTTGTCTTTGTTATTACTCATTTTTCATTGCTATTAATATTTATTACCAAAATGATAGTCCATTTGTATTATTGAATACCTACCAAAAAGTAGAATAATTAAATAAAAAATTATAGAAATTTTTTTTCACCAGTGAACTAACCATGTAACCTAACTTATTTGTTAGTGAACCCCAACACAAAATGTATAATGAATAGGTCAATTATATTTTTAAATTAAATATCCTATGTACAAATATAAAGTATCTATTAATTAGATTTTAAAACTACCATCCTATATTTTGTAAAATAAAACAAAATATCTGCAATTTTGTCAGTTATTTGTTTCTTCTTATAATGATATAGAAGCAGTAATAAAAGAGTTAGTAGCCTGGGACAACTCTCTCCCCCCCCCTGGTCTCATTAATCTAAGAACATATATTTCACATTTTTATTAAAACTATAGAGGCTATAACTAAGCTATGTATTAACCAGAAAGGTTCACTCATAAAGTTAAAACACTATTGTCTTTATGAACGGGTGGACAGATTAATTTTATGAACACGTATAAAATATAATATTACGACGACCATACATTTTTACAATTTTGTTCTTATATTAATGATAATCGTCTAAATTATCAGTGACAAGAGATAATTGATCAGTAAACCAAAACCAATATTAGGTTGTAGGTACCTACTTCAAAATATTGGTTTTCCGCACTTCTTATAAAACAGAGTTAATGTAATTCAAAATTTTGTGGACGCATTTTCCAAAAATAAAGGAATTTACAGTTTTTATTTTAAAGTTTATTAATATTTAGTTACATAATGTGTTTTACTTTTTTAGGTATGTAGCATCTAGTTTGCACTAATTGTATTAACTATTAATTAACTAATAAAATGAATTATTTATGTTATATATTTACATTTTATTAGAAATTTAACTACCTACTCTTATTTATTTTATAAATAATTATTTAGTTATGATGAATTGATAAATACTATTGTATGAATACAGTCATTGAGTCATATAATATAATTACACTAAGTAAATTTACATATTACAGCAATTAACAGATTAACAGAAAAGTCAATATTATTGTAAAATACAGTGTACCCGGCCTCCCCTGGATTTTCGAAGACAGACGCCCTTGCCTCCTACGGCTATACCATAGACCAGGGATGGGCAACTCAAAGTTACTTGAGGGCCAATTTTTAGAAAACTAAAATCTAGCGGGCTAGAGCATAGAAAAAAAAGTCATTCAAAATATACATTTTAATTAGAATTTATTTTGTTTATAATGTAATAGGTAATACGGAAAGGGTTATTAAAAATAATTTAATTAAATATAAATAGTTATTTGTGTGTTGAGCATGTGCGGCTTCTAATGACATCGCGTTAAAATCAACTTCAGCTATTTCGGACGAAGAAACAGACTTAATGTTTCATCTGTAAGTCGATTTCTATGTTTTGATTTAATATGTTTCATGTATGAAATATGAAAATGTACATTCACAAGTGTAAGTAATTCCAAACATGGATAACATTTTTAGCGAGAACTCTTGTAAAGTGAATATTTTCGAATAGGTAATTTTTTCCAAAAGCTTATGTCAATCTCTTTTGTAGATAATAATAATGGATCGGTTTGCAACTCACATAATTCTAATTGAAGTTCAGCATCTTGCTTTTCAATTTCAACTTGGATTCAGTGGCGTACACACGGGGGGGGTTTTGGGGTGTTCAAACCCCCCCCCCCCTTTAGTATTTTTTCAGCTTACGTAATAACGTAAAAATGTACAATACAAATGATGACAATTTAAAAAATATATATTCCAAATTATACTCCATTATATTATAACTTATAAGCAACCCAGTTTGTTATAATATATTGTAGATATTATTGATAACTTGTTACAAATTAATGAAATTATTGGGAAATTTGTTCAAACACAAACATGAGGGTCGACAATCGTGTAATCCGATATAATATGCCTTAATTAGCTATCGCAGTATCGCTAATACTATAGTATAGAATCTATTTCTCAGTTTTCAATCAAATTCCTGACGCTTTGGACGTTTAGTAAATTGTACTTACTGTTTAAATATTTTATACAACAATAAAAATGAAAAGAATAAACGAATATTTTGCTAACCCACTAATTTGTGATACAATTAACTCGGAGGAACCAGGTAAATATTTAATACATTATATTATCAACCTAGGACCTAGGTACAAAAAAATGATTAATATGGTAATAATAAATTTCTCTTTATACCTATCTTTTATTGAATTGTATATAATATATTATTAATTATTATATACATAATTTATGTACGCGTGTAGCTTTGTAGTTATACTAAATAATTACCTGAAGGTAATATAGGTATATATTTTTTAAATAATAATCGAGAATTGTAAAAATATTTATAATTTCACCTTAAGTCATTGCTAATGAGCTGATTACTCATTCATTATGTACAAAATAATTACTATAGCCTATAGGTACATTGTTTTGATTTATCGATGTATAATCTGTATATATAAAACAGTAAGCTGATTGACTGCTATCAACGCACAGCTCAAACCATTGGACGGATCTGGCTGAAATTTGGCATTCAGATAGCTATGATGTAGACGTGCGCTAAGAAAGGATTTTTCGAAATTCGCATTTTAAATAGGTGCTCAAACAGGGACATTGAGATTCAAGATGGAAATTGGAAATTTTATTTTTATTTATTAATAGTTGCCATTGGTTACAGACTACAGTCTACATTAGAAATTAGCATTTATCTATTGGTTGCCATTGATTATTCGGGCAGATCAGGTACAAGCTTGCATCATATCAAATTATTGAACATTGCCTACCAGGGTGGCTGAGTTGCACTTACCGCAGCAAGTTACACCCAAAAGGAGTTCAACAATCATAATTTTTTTAACAGTTGTGATTTTTTACGAGCAACCAAATTTGTTATATTAATCCACCGTATTGGTATAACTTTGATACTTTAGAGTTAAATCATACACTTCCGTACAAACAGCACGGGGTCCGCGATCTACCGCAGGAATTGCCTACATGATATTACATGCATGCGATTCAGAATTTTTATTCTGGGCAACGGAAAAATAAGATAATTTTTGAAACCATACACCGATATTGAATAACGAATTGAACAAAGTTTGAGTCATATGAGTTGATACATTTAAGGCGACGAGTGCACGGGATCAGTAGTATATATATATTATATTTAGAATTTTTTTTATGTAAGCCCCCCCGCTTAAAATAGCTGTGTACGCCACTGCTGGATTTTAAACAAATTTAGATGAGGGCGCATAAATTCAACTTCTTCAATCGTCTTTCGAATTCCACAGTTTAATTCGTCCAAGTGGTTAATGAATGTCAAAATTAAACTCGTTCGTTAAATCTTTTTTTTATTTCACAAAACGGAAAATGCTATCAGTTTTTTTTCAACGACAAAAGTTTATAAAATCTACCAATTTTTTTCTGAATTCATCAAAAGTCCATATAATTTGAGACCTACTACAACTATATTATGACATTTATACATTTAAAGATGTTCAATTGTTCAATACCAGATACAATAATTATTATATCGATAAGATAGTGTATAGACCAGTGGCGTACGCAGGATTTTCCAATGGAGGGGGGCTTGAAAATTAGTAATTTTTATTTTGTCCAGTCTAATGATTTCAGAAGTTTATTTGAGGTAGGTATTTTAAAATATTTGTAACTTTTCAACTTTTCTGGTAAAAAAAAATGCTCTGATCATAAACGTCGATGCCCGGTGTATGTTTTTGGAAGCAAACTGGATCTATAGTTGTTACTTTTAGGAGGTTGAAATTGAAAATGCTTAATGCCTTTTTAAAATAATTACAGAAAAAAAATGAAAATTTATTAAAGTTGTTTGGTAACCAGCTTGGTTATACCACAGAATAGATTAAATATCTATTCTGTGTTTATACCG